CAGTTCCCGAGGTCTGGAATCACCGTGTGTGAAGGTCCCAAAGCTCACTCTTTGGGACCCCATGCGGCCCGGCCTTTGGCCTTTGTCATGGACTACCAGTTCCTAAGCGCTGAGGGGGCTCGTCTGCCTCGTTCCCGTGTCTCATCCGCATTCCCTTTCCCCGCTCACACACACTGAACTGCACACGGCTTCCTCATTTCTTGGGAGTACAGAATTGTCAGGGATGGTGGCATACCACGTTCCTCCCAACAGACGGTGGAAAGAGCTTCATGGTGGGAAATTCAGCAAACCCAGCTTACATTGGTCCATGTCTGCTCAAGTCCTTGAGAGAGGGACTTCTGCTTTCTGGTTCATGACTTTCTTTTGTTTATTTAGTTATGGACAAGACCACGGCCCAGGGCCGAAGCCCTGTGGAGGTGGCCCGAGATGTTCTGGCTGCCGTGGGGAAGAAAAAGAAGGATGTGATCCTGGCCGACCTGTTGCCTTCCTTGGCCATTTATCTGCGAACTCTGGCTCCTGGGCTCTTCTTCAGCCTCATGGCCTCCAGGGCCAGAAAGGAGCGGAAGTGCAAGAACTCCTAGTGGCGCATCCGAGCTGGGCTAGGGAGCGGCACCTGGCTGGGTGCAGCTCCTCGACAAGGGACGGCTGCATTTGTTGAGACCTTACTGGATATTTGTCTTATGGGTGGGAGAGATGGAACACACGCTTCTGAAGATCCCTGGCTAGGCCCCTGCTAATAGAATGAGAACCAAAGAGGGCAACCAGCTTCTTAGGGGTGAGGGGTAAACCTTAAGGAACAAATGTGGAGCTGGGTTTAAACTAAGACTCTGAAATAAATGAATGAACGGTTAAGAGTTGTAGTCCTTGAGGGCTGCCAGCACCATGCCTCCTTTGAATGCCAGCCTCAGCCAGCTCCTAGAAAGTGTTTCAGTCTTGAAGACGGAAGACATCCTGACATCACATGACCCACTTCTCGTATTTGACTGATCTGGATCACAAACTAATGGTTTTGGCAGAGTCACCTGCAGTACTCAAGGGAGCAGGCTGTCCTTTTAAGAAGCTGTCATCCATATCCACGGTCAGGGTCCTACAGTCCGTCATCCAACACAACAGATGGGCTCCCGTGTGTTCCGTCTTTCCACATAACCCAAGTGATGCTGGCTTTAGTACCTAAAAGGAATTCCCTGGTTTCCCTGTGCACTCTCACCTGAAGCCGTGTAGACCAGGCCCCACTCCAAGCAGAAGATGAATGTACAAGGACATGGCAGCCAAAAGGGAGAGGCAAACCACCCGGATGGTCCCGCAGATCTCTAGGAAGTGAGACTCCGAAGCCCGGTCTGCTGGGGGGGGGGGGGGGGCAGTTCTTGAGGCCGCAGCTGGCCCCCGGTCACAGAAGTCAGAAGTCATTTGTTAGCTGTGCCTGTTCGAGTGGGGCCAGAAGGGATGCCCGCTGCCACCTTTCTTATTAAAAATGAATGGTTGAAGTTCAGTGAGTAAATCAACATCATACCTGAAGTTTAGGATGAAACTTTTCCTATTATCGAGGCTGAAAGTGGAAACTGTGGGTGTATTGTATGGCTTCCCCGACGTGGGGTAAAAATGCCCTAGCGCGTCGCGGTGGCATCCTACGCCGTATCCTGGCCCTGCAGAGCTTGTATCTCAAACAGCTGTCCCTGAAATAAAAATGGCCAAAGCCAACCTGTGGTGTTTGAGGCTCTCGAGTTTCCTGGGAGCAGGAGGACGAGGAGTGGGGCATTAGCTCTGGTGACCTTCCCCAGCTCCCAGCGCTGCCTGAACGTTGCAGGGGCCCGTGGTGGAAGTGTGGGTCCGGACGTACGGGGCGGCCCCTTGTTTTCCACAGAAACCACCTACTCCACCCTAACGTGGGAGAGAACAATCTTCCTGTTCACGTCAGGGCCGTTAGAGCCAGGGAAGAGCTGGGCCCACGACAGCCGTGGTGGCCACTCTAAAGCCTACTCTGAGATGGAATAAAATTGCCCAGTGCATAGCACGTCCTCAGGAAAGGCAGTGACAGAGGAAGCTGCGCGTCCAAACGGGAATGACAGAACATCTCTCCTTGGGCACTCAGTTGACTGGCACTTTCAGCGGGGCCCGGATCCAGGTGCTGTCCTTTTCTCCGTTAAACAAAACGGGCAGCAACTGGACACGATGTGACCTGCTGTCCTCTAAAGAACACATGCTCAGCAGCCACACGGGTCGGTCATCAAAACATGGCACCCACTCCGCTGTGGAGGGTGTTGCTTTGGGGGTCACTGGGACAGCGGCTGGGGGCCCACCAAGCCCCGACTCAGGCGCGGGTCCGTACGCAGAGCTTGGAGCAGACACAAAGGGTCTCTTAACCCACACACGACCCCTGAGCCCGATTCCAAACCACTGGATGTTCATTTACCTCCTATTTTTAAAGACTCACACTCACTTTCTTAAACTTACTTTAGAAACTTTATATTCTGCCATATCAATAGCAAATGGAACACAACCAATCATTAAAATCTGGCTACCTCTGGCCGGCTGGCAGACGCTGTCCGAGGCCCAGCCAGCTGCTCCTGAAGAGGTGGGCAATATCGGAGAGGTAGTAGAGATGAGCTCCCGCCGCACAGATGCTCCTTTTGGCCTCGGAAACGAGGGAGAGGACTAAGGAGGGCCAGCGACGTCAGTGCTCTGGAACGTCCCCCTGGAGGGCGCACTGGCGTGAAGGTGGGGCTCCCCGGCCTGGGAGGGCGAGCCCCCCCGACACACACACACACTGTGCCCTGGCCAGGACCCCACTCTTGCTTTCAAGCCAGTGTTTGAATATGAACATGTGCCACCAGGGGCGGGGTGGTGCTCCTGTTGCCGTTTCTCTTTTCTGGCCTCAAGGGTTTGTCCCCTTCCCCCCCACCCCACCGTGGATTGTGGGTAGGTTGGGAGAGCTCTGCATTGGTTCTGCCTGCACATAAAGTTCAAAGGCACCGTCCGCTCTGCCCTGTAGGCCTCCTGGGGTTTCCCGGGCCGAGGGCAGAAGCATGCGCGCTTGGGCTGCGCGCCCACGTCAGTGTGGAAAGCACAAGCACGTGAGTTTCCATCCAGCAGCGCTGCACATCTGTGCACTGCTCGTCTGTGCGCGGCTCCCGGGTGGTCAGACCGAAGAGCCCGCGCGCGCTGCCTGCCACCTGCAGGCTCCAGGGACGCCGCTTCCCTTCCCTTCTTCATGGGGCACTGCAGCTGCTGAACCAGATGTGAACGCTTGGGAGGGAGCGGACAGGCTAAGGAGAGAGCCAGTAAGTGTTTGCCGGGGTCTGCTCCTCCGCATTTCTCGATGAGCTGACCTTTCTAAAGGCTCTTTGCTCTTCTCTGAAATTGGGGTGAGAGTGGGCAGTTCAAACAAGACTCCTGTAATTGGGTTACTGGCGCGATGCATTGACGGACGTGGGCGCACACAGGCCTGGCGTGTGGACTTCGCAGGCAAGGGCCAGCTGACTCGGCCTGTGTTTCCCATGTTAAGAGCCCTGCGGCACGTCACCGAGGAGTGTAACCCGCTTGACAGTGACGTGTAATTAGAAAGGCGGGAGAAACAGAGAAGCCTTCCAGGCGCCGGAGGTGTTGTCCTGCCGCTCTCCTTCCCAGCCAACCTGGGCCGCTGCTCACGTAGAGAGGCCTAGAGCACCAAAGTCCTGCTCTGCGGTCCGCAGCAGGCCCGAGTCCTCACCTTGGCAGGGGACATGGAACTGCGGTGGTATTTCAGAATCTGGGCTGGTCCACCTGACAAGAATCACTTTGTTCGGCGCAGCTGGAGCCAGCCTGTTTGCACTTGGCTTCTATTCCTGGTGAGGACTTCTGCTTAGCTGACCCGACCGAGACGGCTACTGCTTGTCGGCTTCCAGCCACCTCCCCCATGAAATCTGGTTTGCAGGCAGAGCATGGGGCTCCCTTTCCAAATCTGCACCATTTATTACAAGACACCTGCCATTCGTGCCCGGCCGGCCTGGGAGCCAGCAGTCAGACACCCAAGGGGTTGTGGGCTCTGCACGCTGAGACCCTGAGTCTGGGATCACTACCGATCGAGCACTGTTGCCGATGGATGGCCAGACTGCCATGTAAACTATAGTGTGCCCCCAACACCATCTTGCCACCCAGCATTCACCTGAGTGATTAGTATTTCTAGGCCTCTCGGAATTGAAGTTGTTCAAACTCTGTGGACCACGGTCCATTGTGAAGTCTTTTAAAAAGCTCTGGATCTCCCCTTACAATAAACGGACCAATCGCCCGCTTGAGCTCCTTGACGCCTTCCCGTGTACCCCTTCATCATTCTCTGGTATCAGATCTTCCCGGTGTGGCCTTTAAAACCAGATTGCTTCTTAAAGATGGACCCTTCGGAAGGAAGTGCCATGTAGCTCTTCAGGGAGGACTGAGAGCAGGTCTCAGGAAGGTTGCAGGTAAGGCGGGGGACCTGACATCCTTATGGAAGGGAAGATTTTTTAACTACCCAACACCTTCGAGGGATATGGAGGACGGGGTGCGACACGCCCTCTGCTGTGAGGGAGGGGCGCGGGATGGCTCCTGCGGGATGGGACTGCTGCGGGGGGCACTGGGCTCGAACTCGGGGTCCACATCAGGAACAGCTTCGATGCTTTGAAAAAATACAGGCGTTCACCCGTGGGGCCTTCTAAATCAGAATCTCTGGACAGGAGGTCCCAGGCCTCAGTTCTCCACGTGGCCCCGCACGGAAACCCGGTGACCTCCAGGCCTCGTCACCGGATCCTGCCACATCCCCGAATGGCATTTAGCGGTGCCCGCCTTGAAAACGAGGCCGGCATGCGGTGAGACCGCTCTGGGCGGGGGCCGGGCCGGCCTCATTCACAAAGGCCCGTTCTTGCCGCGGACGGTGACACCAGGCCACAGCAAGGAGCAGGGCTGGCGGGCTCGCGTGGTGCCCACAGCTCCCACGAGCAAGCGCCCGCAGGCAGCAGCTGCAGGTGGTCATGGACACAGCGGACACCTGAAGTTGAAATTCTCATAATTTTAATGGTCAATAGCTTCTGGTTGGCTCTGGATGGTACAGTTAAACAACAGACGTAAAGACCTCCCCGCCGCCCCACAAGCGCATTCATACCCCCTCAGTAGCGTTGCTGCTGTCCACATTCCACTGCCCGCTCAGACTCCCATAGCTCAGACCCCCTGTGGGTTCTGGAAATCCACATCTTAGTGTAATGAGTTGAAAAACCCTTGGTACACCTGTGATCTGTGTTATTTTTTTTTTTTTAAAATAACAAATATTAAACGAAACCCCTTCCCAGGCTCTGCCGCCCCACAGAGCAAAAACTGTTACTGGGGCCATCTGAATACTCGGGGGGGGTCTCTCGTGGGCTGGGTCATTTGCTTCTCTCCCCGTCCCACTGAGATCATACGGCATAGAGTTCGTAAATCTTCTTTACACAGTACACCAGGGCGGCCAGGGCTATTGTGTTGTGCAGTCTCTTTCTGTGCAAGTCGTCCTTCCGGACCAGCACCACGGGGGTGGAGGAGGTGAGTGTGTGCAGGGGCAGGCGGGACAGTTTATAGGCGTCGTACTCCACTTGGTACTTGCAGCAGGGGTCAAACTGCCAGGAGATCCCGTACAGGGTGCAGCAGGCCAGGCTGAGCACGCCAGCAGGCAGGGAGATGTAGTGGGAGTAATCTAAGGGCAGAGCCAGCGGGGTGAAGAGGCACGCGGTGCCCGCCAGCACAGTGGTCTTGTGCAGGCAGTTGCCCACGGTGATCCAGCGGGCCGTCTCGTCGCCGATGCGTGTGGGCTCGATCACGATGTACTTGTACTGGGCTTCCAGGGCCTGCTCCAGCTCGTACTCGAACTGGTCTTGGGCGTTCTCCCCATTGTAGATCTCGTGCACGATGTAACAGTCTGTGGCCGACAAGCTCACCCTTGGGGCGGGGGGGGGGGAGAAAGAGGAGACAGTGAGACAGGCTGAGAAGCGCACACCCCGCCTCCGTGCTGAGACGCTGGGGACAAGTCCGTGGCCCAAGCCTGGGCCTCAGGCTCATCAGAGAGCCCGAGCTCGTGAGCGCACCACGTCTCGCTTATGTTTTGATCTTCCCTGGAACCCAATATACAAGGTAGTCACTAAAGAATTTTTGTTTTTTTCCTCAGAGAAAATGGTGAAATGTAGAGAGACACAGGGGGAGGAGTACCCAGATCCCTAAGGACATGACCACCTGCAGTGCGTACCGGGCCTGGCGGTTAGCCCAAGGCCGCGCACGGACGGAGCTCAGTGTGCACAGCAGCCCCAAGGAAGAAAGAATGTTTCGGCGCGGAATCACACCCACACAGAGGCCTGAGGTCGGCTGGATGAACCGTGCCCTTGGTTAACCAGAGCAATGCGAGGGGGAGGATTCTTCGATGGAAACCAACAGACCCAAGGCCGATAGTGCCGAACGCTCTGCCCTCTGCAAGGTTCAAAAGTCGTCATCCCTGCGCTGCAGAACAGAAGACCGACAGGGCCATCTTCACCTCGGATGACTGAGAACAAAACTCCTCCGGCCGTCACGGGAGGATGAAGTGCACAAAGCACCCGAGGCCGAGAGCCCCAAGAACACCAGCACACAGCTTAGAAAAAGAAGCCCTCTGATTTAATGAGGAAAAGACAAGGCCTCAAGGACCGTGACAGTGAAATTCAGTGTTAAGGGGGTGACATGAAGGGCCCCTAGAGGTTCCCACCCATTCTGACCCTGTGCCTCCAGGACTCTGTATTCATTGCCAGGAAAGCTCCTCTCACTCACATAAAAAACACTGTTCACAAAGCCCCACTTCAAGCGGCTGAGCTGATCCAACTCCCCCCTGGGACTAGGGATGGGTGCCCTGACCCTCACTGGTGGAAGACAAATCTGGAGGCTCAGGGACGGCTCAGCTGTGAACCAGGGGCCCCAGGGGCATTTTAGGCGGTTTCGGGATTCTACTGACGTCTCTCCGGTGCAAACTTCGTATCCAAAGCAGAATCTTTCCACACCCCTGATGGGCAAACCTAAATATAGACCTGTACACGCCTTGTCATTTCCATTTGGCTTGTTTCAGCCTGTCCAGATCTTTCTGAATTTCCATACCGCCGGCCAGCGTATACAGTTTCTCCTAGTTTTATGTTCTCAGTTCATCCAGTAAAAAGCCTTCTTTATACCTGTCTCTGAGGGGGACGCTGCAAGACACAGCTCCTGAAGCTGGATCAAGTCACTTAACCCTCTTACCAGGCAGTGCAGAGCACCCTCCACATGCCTCGGTGAAAAGCAGCCCCTTCCCTTCAGCAGCCCCCGGGCCCTGGGCCGGTCAGACCATCACAAAGGAGAGGAGGTCCAGGGGTACCCGTCTCGCTCTGGTGCTCACTGCTCCCCGCACCCAAGCCCACGCCCCTCTGACTGGGGCTCCGGGCAAGCGTACTGAGCCATACAAAGGTGATCGCAGCCCACCACCCGAGGTCTGATTGTCCAACGAGTAAGCACAGTCCTAAGTGCTCAAGGACACGAGGCCATCAGCTCCCCACATCCCGGGCACGCACACTCAGCAGCCACTCCGAGGAAGGCAACAGGGGAGCCGGGCTCAGAGCTTCCTCATCAGGGACTGTGCACATTAAGGACAAGTGAAGGCTTTTAAAACAAGGTCACCCCAGAACCTCTAGGCCCTAGCCCTCCTTCAAAGATGAAATGACACGTCAGGTGTGGTGAAAACTGCATTGGCGGGGGTATGCCTCAAGGAAAAAGGACAGGTGATCAGAGCACTCCTTCCAGTTATTACTCCCAGGCAGGATTCAACACGATAAAAGCTACCTTTAGCCAACAAATAAGCAAATCTAAGAGGCAGAGGGTTTCACTCTGTTAGAAAAACAACTGCTCAAATACTCTGCCCGAATATTCTCCCCGTGGGTCGCATCGGAAAGTCACTGGTAATGCGCCCCCAAGCGCGGGGGGAGGGGCCTCCATTCCCAGATGGGAAGGACTTTAGCAAAAGGCACTGGCTGGGACTTGGGCAGAGGGAACTCTTTATTCTGAAAAAGTAACTGTAATGAAGTCGGGCTCAGGGGAGCCTCCTAATTAAAGCACAGGCCCTAATTAAACGGTGTGCACTGGGGAGAAGTCGTTCCCTGGGGGGTCGGACAAGCAGCCTCCTAAACACGGGACATTGCCAGAGCAGCTACGGTGGGCCAGCACGGAGCCAGTAGTCAGGGCCGCCTCTCCAGGAGGAGTTAACGAGGTGCTTCCAGAAGAATCCACCGGAAGTTGATGCAACGGGAAAAGGAGGGTTTTCCCCTTCAAGGCCTCCATTTGGTTTGAATTCAGGGAGGGGAGATGGAACTTGTTTCAGTTCTTACTCCCAGGCAGGGTCTCACGCTGGCTGGATAAGTCACAGCAGAAATGGAAGTCACTGGCCATGGGCTGACTGGCCCCGTGTGCGCAGGACCAGGGAGAGGACTCGCTCCCAGGGCAGCTCCGACTTCCCTTGTGTTCTCAAGTTGTGAAGACGAGGCGCTTCCAAGTCAGTGCGTGTCCCCACTGACTACCAGAGCGAGGCCAGGGATGCCTTTCTGGCCACGAAGTCCCTCCAGAACGTTCAAACCAAAACGTGGGTGTCAACGTTGGGATCACAGAATGTTCCTGCCCAAAGCCCAAATCTACCTCAGGATACAGTGCCCTCTCTGCCCAGCAGATCGGAGGCATCCTGAACGTCGTGAGGCCCAGTAAGAAAACGCCAGTTGAAACCCCAGCACCCGGAACTGGCCGCTCCGTTCTGGAAACGCACGGGCGGGCAGATCCCACCTCGCCGTCCCGAGCCCCCTGCCGCCCATGCTTCTGCAGGCCCAGCTGGCATCCACGGCCACGCCGCCCGCGGGCCCCCTCAAGCCCGACAGTGAAAGGCCACTACCCTCCCGGTTCCTGCCTCACTGCTGTCGCCCCGTGCCCGGCGTCAGGCCCGACAGCACAGGGACGGACAGTAAGTGGACACGGGCAGCGGGTCACCCTCTGCGTTCTGACCGCCACAGCGCACATGACTGTGCTCATCCAATATGCACACCCAGCCTTGCCAAGGCATGCCACAGCTTCCTGAAGCCCCAACGGCTTCCTGGGGGCAGGTCACCCCACTGCTACCCGTCACCATCCACCAGCTACCCAGAGTGTAAAATCAGAGCATCCGCCGCGCCGAAGTCCCTTCCGGGCGCCTTCCAACAAGCCCGCCTCTGAAGCCAGCCCAGCCGCAGAGCCGCGCTCCCGGCCCGACGCGCACGAGTTCTGCTCTTAAAGCCAAGGCGCTATTCCCAAACTCAGCACACACGGTCGTTTCACTGCGAAACGATCTAATCTGAAGTCGTGGGGACATTTCCAGGATTCCATACGCTATACACAGGAGACACAAAGGCTCAAAACGTGGGCACGCGCGCACACAATCGGAGGCCCCACCTGTTAGAGGCCACCCATCAAGCGGTCAGCGTCTACTCCTTCCACCTGGGCTGTGGCAGCTGGGGCTCATGTCCCTGCAATTACAGGTTTTAATAGCTGCCTGGACCACTGGATTCAGTCCGCATGGTTGTCATGGGCTGTTACGTCACAAACCTGGTGGCCGAGTACTCCCAGGACAGAGCCGTGTCTCCCGCCACCGAGCTACTCCAGTGCCCACCCACGTGTGGCCTGCTTTTGTTTCCGGGTCACGTCACCCAACTAAGGAAGGAACCCAGTGGCCTTGAACAATTTTAGACCATCACCAGCCAACCCCTAACTTGAGCCCTGGCACACAAATGCAGATTAAAAAAAAAAAAAGCTAATTGGAGTCTTTGGGGCTTCCTAAGAGACTATATTTTTGCTTTTCACGACAGGTGTGACGTGAGCAGTAAGAGTGCATAATACAGAGTTCATGTAGGGGTGGCTAGTGGTGCAGCTGGCTGAGCGTCTGGCTCTTGGTTTCAGCTCAGGTGGTGATCTCAGGGTCCTGGGATCAAGCCCTGGGTTGGGCTCTGCGCTCAGGGCACAGCTTCCTTATCTCCTCTTCCTCTGCTCCTCCCCCCAACTTGGCGCTCTCTCTCTCTCTCTCTCAAATAAATAAACCTTAAACAAAAAAGTTCATGTAAAAAGAGAAAGAGAACTGATGGAAAAGTATCCAAGAAATAAAGTGAAAAAGGCAAGTACAGAACAGTGATTATAGTATATTTAGTGTACTTTTAAGAAGCGATGTTTGTGTTGAATCACAGACCTGTACCTCTGAAACAAATAATACAATATATGTTAAAAAAAAAAAAAAGATAGGACAGGAAGAACGAAGGGGGGGACATTGGAGGGGGAGACGAACCCTGAGA